CTCTCTCGTTCTTTCTTTCAAGTCCTGGACTAATCATTGTGGAGAGAGAGAGAGAGAGAGAGAGAGGACGGGGGTCCTGGTTTAGTTTGGTTTAGTCCTGTTTTAGTCTAGTTCAGTTCTGGTTTAGTCCTCAGCTGTTGAGGCGTTTGATAAAGGTAAACATTAGCCTAAGTGAGATAAGTTTGCAAGAGACTCTTCCATTTCACATGTTTCCATTTCGCATGTGTTACACACTGTATCATGGTAATAGCATAACCATGTATAAAGGTATGCATTAAATATATACTCAGGACAATAAATGTAAAGTTTTATCAGGTCCTGACACAAAGTGCCAGTTATTCCAGGAGTGAGGTGCTTAATGCTGAGGACACACTCTACTTATATGTGTCAATCAGTGCTATTCTTTAAAGTTCACTGTATGCAGGATTTGTGTGGCTCTGGATGAAATAAATCGAGGGGTTTCTTGTCAAACTGTTGTGACCCTCTTTATTTTTAGTGTATTATTGTCCAGCATAGCGTTAGATTTACGAAATGTTTATTACGTGGTTGTTAGCATATAACTTCATTTCGATGCTAATCGCTACGTCAATGAACAATGCAAAAACAATTCTACATGTGGCAATGATTTCTATCAGGCTCTGGTGTTACTCATGTGTAGTTGAGTGGTTGTTAGTCTTCAAAACAGTCCTGGTATTTCATAGTTTGTGGTGATAGATGGCTAACGCTAAGATGAAATTGGGGCTAACACTGGGTCTATACAGGTCTATTCGCATTTCATCCAAATCGGTATCTTATATTTTACATGGATGTGTGTTTGGCACTTGTATTGTAGGCTATAGATGTTACGAGATCAATGTTCTGAGGTGGAAAAACAGAGAAACTTACATTTTCATCCTTCAGTGTCTGGATGACTCAATCCTCTGTGTTACGCTCCCTCAAAAAAGCAGCAGTTGAGCATCCATTGCTACATGAACACACGGTAAACAATTAGGACAATTTTACTGTCACTTTACTCTGTAACATTTCCACTATAAGCAAGCAGCATTAGCTCGCTACTATTTAAACTAGCATTTTGTTTAGTTTTTTTATTTAGCTATAGCATGCACACTATGCCACGCTACTACACGATCCTGGATTTTATATAAGCCTACATTTACATAAGCATACATTTGAGTAGGGAACAATATACGTTGTCAAAAATGGGGGGGAAACATATAAATAATTATATATCTTACCTTTATTTGTGTCTGCTGAAGTCCGAGGTCCAGCTAGCCATGCAAGAAGGACTTGCCAAATCAACCGAACACCACGCCCTGTTTTGTTTAATTGGCGGCATTTTCTTAATTCGTGGGAACGATTTAGTTAAAATGTGGGAACGATTTAATCAAAACGTGCGAACGATATATCTAATACGTGCGAACGATATAGCTAAAACGTGCGAACGATATATCTAAAACGTGCGAACGATTTAGCTAAAGTGTGGGAACGAATTATATATTGTGGGAACGAAATAGTAATTTGAGGCCACGATTTAATATCTTTTTTCGCGTATGTGATCGGGATGTCATCGGGCGGGCTCCGTAGTAAATAAATAATAAAACTGAAAATATTTTTCTCTTTGTTTCATAAGTCAAAGCTCGTCTGCATGGGGATGTTATTTTGTTTTTGATGTTATTTAGTTTCCAGTGTTTCTCTAGCTCTAAATCCCTTGTGTAACATGTACTCTTATTGTGAATGGTGTCACTTCTTCACAGATCTGACCTGTAACTTGTTCTGGTGGTGTTGCCTGCTTTTCTCTATTAAGACAAGTTTAATGCCAGACTGAAGAACATTCAAGACAAAGCAATAACATCTCTGCAGAGTCAAGAAGGTGGCGAACCATCTACCAGAAAAGTTCCACAGTGCACCTTTAAACAGTCAGTACTGTTTAGACAATAGAGGCCTGTTACATTTCTATGTGGTGCTGTTGAACTAACCACTTCCTCTTTAATCCTCTAGGCGCCACTGTCGGCTTAATTCGACAAGATGCCACACTGAATAATACGGCAGATTTTGTCAAACAGGGTGTCAAATTTCATTGGAGCTCCCCTCCACTAGATGGAACACATGTCATACTACAGCTCTGACTCAGAACTACGTCATACTTCTTTATAAAATAGTGGAGCTAGGGAGAAAGAGAACGCTCAAATAGCAAATCACCCCTAGATTTTCTATCTCTTTTTCTCTGTGATAATTTCTGGAATGTACTTGCAGTTAAGATAAATCACTTTGCCCATCAGTTTTTAGCCTCCCATAAATGGTCTGACAGTCAGTGAAATGAAAGCCTTTTTTTTCTCTGTATCAGAGTATGGGTCTTGTAGAGAAATCAGACTTAGGGGTTTACTGGGCAAAATATTGACCAACAGCAACACCTGGATTTGGCATGAGGATGTCCAGGAATAGATTTCAGATGATTTTGTCTTTCCTTCATTTTGCCAGCAATGAGGAGTATATTTGACATGGGCCAGCCTGGGTATGACAGGTTTTTCAATATACGCCCAATAGATGCATCAAGAATTTCGAACTTACGGTCATTGCGCAGTGCATACTGGGAAGGATTTTCCAAAAAAGTGAGCATCAAACCTCCATGTTTGTTTTCCCACTGGGATGCATCTATTGACAAAGCCAGTCTTTTCTAGTCTTTGGAACCATATCGCTTTTGTTTATTGTCATATTTGAGTTTTGGGATTCGGACATCGTAATTGTGTGGTTGTTGGATCCTAACACCAGAAAACGGCTCAAGAAATTTGTTTGCAAACTCCATAAATGCAAAAGGGAATTAGACGTGTGTGACTGCAAACCTCTGTTCAAACTGTTTCTCTTCCCAACGGAATTGAAAAATAGTGAAAGGTGAAGGTGATGGGCAGGATTGATCCACAGGAAGGACGAGCAAGGAAACTTCTGACTGCCTAAATCATCCCAAGTTTGCAGTGAACATTTTGTATGTGGAGCACAGAAGACAAACAGACTGAGCTGCACTTTCTTGTTCTTGTGGTTTTACAGCAACATCATGTCTTGGTCTCTTTGCAGTGGAAGGTGTTTCTTGGTGAACAGTTGGTGCCTTTCGCTTTGGTGTTGACTTTTTAAATTCGTAACCAAGGTGGAGCGAGGGATCAGGGTTTTGCTTTGATGGCATAGTGTGTGTCATGATACAAAGCGCCTCACAATGCTCTCTACACTCCGTAGCAACACTTGTGTCAGAAAACGCATCAAGACCAAACACACTGATAGTGGTTAAAGGGAGATAAATATTCCCGTGCGTGTTGATGATTACAATTCATTCATGGGGGTGTCGACACAGCAGACCAGAGAATGAAGACCTACCTCTTTCCCCATAGGTCAAGGAAATGGTACAACTGAATTTTCAATGCCATTCTAAATGTAAGCATGGTGAACGCTCACATTATTTACTGCTGCACCTCACAAGCCGCTGAAAGTCTTTGTGCAGGATGTCATCACTGCTTTACCAGAAGGCTACTCCAGGACAGACAGCAACAAAGACAAAAGTTTGGGAGACATGCCACAGAGACTCACTGAGCGTCACTTTCTGTGTAAGGCTGATGATCACCCAGGTTGTGTTGTTTGATCTGATCAGGCCACCGTCAGACAAAATACAGGTGTAGGCAGTGTGGGGTGGGTCTTTGTATTGTGCCTTGTAATGAGAAGTACTACACCATCAAACAGTACAAGCAGTGTCACGTGGATGGACAGGAATCCGTGTATCATTCGTTCATTCGTTTTTCAATATAAAACCAAAAATAAGAAAACGAAAAAACTACTGTTTTCTTCTTTTTTTGTTTCCAAAACCAAAATGAAAAAACAGATAATGAATAGTTTTTTCAGGTTTTCGATTTTGTGTTTAAATGAAGAATGGAAAACGGATAATGGTCCATTTACGTGACTTCTGTGACTGTGATACCGGACTTTTGCACTGCATACAGACTGAACCAGGACTGATCCAGGTCCAGACCGGGACCAGAGTGCTACTGAGACCGGGACCAGACCGAGACTGAGATCAGAACTGAAACTGGGAGACCGGACCAGAGACAGGCTGAGCTCAAAGCTCGGAGTCCGCCCTGAGTCCGCCCTGGTCCCGCCCTGGTCCCGGACCTAAATCAGTCCTGGTTCAGTCCGTACACGGTGCAAAAGTTCGGCATCGCAGTCATGGAAGTCACATAAACGGAAAACGACCTTTAAACGGCCGTTATTTCCATTCTTCAATTAAACACAAAATCGAAAACTGAAAAAATGAATCGTTATCCATTTTTTCATTTTGGTTTTGGAGACAAATAATGAAGAAACAGTTGTTTTTTCGTTTTCTTATTTTTGGTTTTATATTGAAAAACGAATGAACGTACACGGATTAGCAGGGATTCATCAAAAGGCCTGCTATATAAATTTGTTTTTTTTCTATTTATTAGTAATGATATACACGATTGACTTACTATGTACTATTTCCCTGACCATTTAGTATATTACATTATGTGTTTTTGTGTGTTTATGTCCTTGTGATGTGTATGTCTTTGTCAGCTCCAAAAAATAAAATAAAATAAATAACATCGTCATCTCACTTATGATCTGTGTCTTGCTGTGGTGAGTGAGCTTTCCAACTAAAAAGGTTTTGTCTACTCGTGCTTGTGTGTCATAAGAATAATATATATGTGCGCCATACACGGAAGTGCCAATGTAGTCAATGGAAAATCTGTACAGCAAAAGGCCAGTCTAATATTAGAGAAAAGAGAAATAAATATTAGCAAATAAACATGTAATTTAAATGGGGTTCACCGTTTATTTAACTGTGATGGAACATGGGTGAGACAAACATTAATGTTGTGGCAATGCATAGTATCCTAAATAACTTCTTGAAGTACTAACTGAAAATATAAAATCCTAAAAAATGTTAAATAAAATAAAATTTTGTGTAAATGCACTTAAACTTTTCTCTTTTTCTCCTTCTCTAG